CTCAGCTAAGGTCCCAGCGCGGAAACTAGCACATGCGCCGCCGCCCCATTTTGGAACACCCCTCACACGTTTTCGAGGCCCCATGGGAACTCCACCTAGGGTCCCAGGGCGGAAACTGCATGGCGCCGCCGCCCCTTTTGGCACAACCCCGCCACAGTTCGTGGCCCCATGGGGAGCTCCACCTAAGGTCCCAGTTGCGGAACTCGCATGGCGCCGCCGCCCCATTTTGGCACACCCCTCACAAGTTCCGTGGCCCCATGGGAGCTCCACCCAAGGTCCCATTGGCGGAACTCGCATGGCGCCGCCGCCCCATTTTGGCACACCCCTCACACGTTTCGTGGCCCCATATGGAGCTCCACCTACGGTCGCAGCGGCGGAACTCGCATGGCGCCGCCGCCCCATTTTGGCACACCCCTCGCACGTTTCGTGGCCCCATAGGCAGCTCCACCTAAGGTCCCATTGGCGGAACTCGCATGGCGCCGCCGCCCCATTTTGGCACACCCCTCACACGTTTCGTGGCCCCATAGGGAGCTCCACCTAAGGTCCCAGCGGCGGAACTCGCATGGCGCCGCCGCCCCCTTTTGGCACGCCCATCGCATTTTTTGTGGCCCCATAGGGAGCTCCACCTAAAGTCCCAGTGGCGGAACTCGCATGGCGCCGCCGCCCCATTTTGGCACACCCCTCACACGTTTCGTGGCCCCATATGGAGCTCCACCTACGGTCGCAGTGGCGGAGCTCCCATGGCGGCGCCGCCCCATTTTGGCACACCCCTCGAAGGACCAGGATGAAGGATGAGGACGAAGAGGAGGAGAGGGAGGAGGAGGAGGAGGAGGAGGATGACGAGGAGGACGAGGAGGACGAGGAGGACGAGGAGGTCGAGGAGGACGAGAACGCCATGCAGCTGAAGCCCGATGATCGTAGACTCCGGGAGGAAAGGTTCCAGAACGGCCACATGATTGGGTCTTACTGGGACACCGTGGCGCGCTGGGCGAACATGCGTGCCCAGCGGGGCGCGGACGTCCTGAAGAAGCCTCTCTTCCTCGTACAGGCCGCCGACAGGTCTGCCCCGACGATGGGCAGGAAGGGCGCCGCCAAGATGATGAACTGTGCCAACCCGAAGAACACCGGTGGCATGCACGGACTGCTCCCGGTGTTCGTGGGCATGCGGATCCGGCTCCTGGAGGCGCTGGACCTCAAGAGCGGCCTCGTCCAGGATCCCGAGGGGCAGATCGTGCACATCGTCGTGGGCCCTCGAGATCGGGACGACGTAGACAAGGCCGAGAGAGACGGGGAGAAGAGGATCTATCTGAAGCGCTTGCCGCTGGGGTTCTGGGTGCGCATGGAGAAGTACGCGAGCGCGCCCTTCGTGGGCGACCTCGAGCGCCACGACGACAGCCTCACGGGGGACCTCGCGGGCAAGCTGGCGCCTCGCACGTCGGAGCCGCTCGCCTTTCGCACCTCCAAGGTCACCCGAACGGGCCCCCCCTTCTCGCGCGGCAGGGTCATCGCCACGGCGGCGTGCCAGGGGCGCGCCGTGCGCGAAGGCGACGGGGCGAGGGAACAGCGCTCTGGGGCAGTTTGCGGCCAGACCTGCTGGGCGCGAGCAGTCCGCAGCCAGACCTCCTCTCGTTCTGTGGGCTCTCGCCCTGGGCCGCCGGCTGCCCGGCGCGCTGCCCCCTCGGCCGACGTCGCCCAGGCGTGATCCTGGGCTGCGGCCGCCACGAGGTGGGGGACGGCAAGAAGGAGGACGACGACTGGTGGCTGGAGCTCTACGTCCTGCTCTCGCGCGCCACGCGCCACGAGGACCTCCTGCTCATGCGGGCGCCGCGCATCGAGTCCTTCCTTGCAGGGCCGCCGGAGGGCTCGCGGAAGCAGCTGGAGCAGTTTGAGGCGCGCACGAAGCGGTGCAGAAGGGAGGCGACGGCCCTCGCCAGGAAGATGGGCTTCACCGAGTTTATCCGCGAGGCTTGACCTGAGGAGCGGCCCGCCCGAGACTCGCCGCCTCTCGACGGTCTGGCTGTTTGGCCTCGCGCCGCGGGCGATCCGCGCGCGTCGCTGGGGCCCTCTCGGGGCGACCAGCGCGCGTCGCGGGAATTCCGTGCTGCGCTCTGCCCGGAGCCTCGCTCGCCCCCGTCGTCGCTCTGCCCAGCGGCCGCAGTCTTGCCCGCTATCACCCAGCCAGCTAGCACTCTCTCTGCTCCGCGCAGCGGGCGACCGCGCGCGTCGCCGGGACCCCTTCGGGGCGACCGGCGTGCGTCGCGGGGACTCAGTGCGGCGCCGCGCCCGCAGCCGTGGACATCGGCGTGCACGGGCGAAGAGGCAGAAAAAGAAGGGGAAGGAAGCGGGCGCGATCCTCGTGAGGGGCGTGCCGACATGGGCGTCGACATTGATGCGCGTAGACTGATTCGCACGCAGACACATTCACAATCAGACTTGCTCGCGCTCAGGCTCACCCAGTCTCAGTCTCGCGCACTCAGAGCGATCGTCTTTGTTCGTACTGGGGACCCCGCCACGCATTTCGGCACGCCCCCTTCACACGGTTCGTGGCCCCATAGGGAGCGCGAGCGAAGATGAGATCCACAATCGCGGTATTCACAATTGCATATGGTTAGGTCCTTCGCCAGGCTAATTTTTTGGGACCCGTTCTAGTTTCAATCGGTTTCTGTCACCCCCGGGACCCGAAAAAGGCACGGGGGCACGGCCCCGGGGCCCGGAAAAGCGGCGCGTCTGCGGCAGAATCTGGTCGTCGGCGTCGTCGTCGCCGTCGCCGTCGCCGCCGCCGTCGTCATCGTCTTCGCTCTATCTTTCACGACGACGAGGACCGACGACGACGACGAGGACGACGACGACGACGACGACGAGGACGACGACGACGAGGACGGCGACGACGTCGTCGTCCTCGTCGCCGTCGCCGCTGCCGTCGCCGTCACCGCTGCCGTCATCATCGTCCTCATCTTCATCATCCTCATCGTCCTCATCCGCGTCGTCGTCCTCATCCTCGTCGTCCTCATCCTCGTCGTCCTCATCCTCGTCGTCCTCATCCTGGTCACCCCAGCCGTGGCGACTAAGCAGGAGTTTGACAGGAGAGCGGTGGGCTCCAGGGCTGAGGCGGAGCAGCTCGCGGCAGAGTTGGGTTTCGTGCTGCCACCCGCCTGAGCGCCGCGGCGCGCACCTGGAGGCCCGCGGGGTTGTCCCAACGGCTGGCTCCCGCGCCCCTGCGGCCTGCGAGGTTGTCCCAACGGCCTGGCCCGAAGGGTTGCCCCGACGGCTTCGCGATCCAGCCGTCGGCGCACGCGCGCGTGCTGGCCGACGCGGCGACGGCGCCGGGGAAAATCGAGTTGCTTGCCACGTCCACGGGGAACGGGAGGTGGACATGGAGAAGAGGCAGGAGGATGGGGAGGGAAGGGCCATGGGGGAGGGCGACGACGAGGAAGAGGTGGCGCGGAGGAGAGAGGAGGAGGAGGAGAGGAGGAGGAGGAGGAGGAGGAGGAGGAGGAGGAGGAGGAGGAGGAGGAGGAGGAGGAGGAGGAGGAGGAGGAGGAGGAGGAGGAAAAGGAGGAGGAGGAGGCGGAGGAGGAGGGATGGAGGAGGAGGAGGAGGAGGAGGAGGAGGAGGAGGAGGAGGAGGAGGAGGAGGAGGAGGAGGAGGAGGAGGAGAGAGGAGGGAGGAAAAGGAGGAGGAGGAGGAGGAGGAGGAGGAGGAGGAGGAGGAGGAGGAGGAGGAGGAGGAGGAAGAGGAGGAGGAGGAGGAGGAGGAGGAGGAGGAGGAGGAGGAGGAGGAGGAGGAAGATAAATAAAAGGAGGAATAGAGGGCAGTGCAGTGGGCGAGAGGAGAGGGTGTCCGCCAGGGGGAGGAGGAAAGGGCAAAGGGTAAGCTAAACAGATTCTCGTGCGGGGTCCTACCGTCGGAGTAATTACAGGGTTTCGGCGACCCGGGGCCAACAGGGCCCCCAGAGGCGGCAGCCGCCTTTCAAGACGATTCCCATGACGCCAAAAATGCCTCCGAAGGTCTCGAAGACGCCCCAAGAGGCACCCCGAGATAGGCCCAATAAGCAAAAATCGTAGATTTCCTATAAGGGGAACTGACATTTTTGGCGTGTCTGCCTTTTGGGCGTCCACTGCGTCCAAGACGGCCCAAGAGGCACCCAAGCCGGTCGAAAATGCCCCCAAGAGGGCCCCAAGACGGCCCCAATACGGCCCACGAGAGGGCCAAGACGGCCCACGAGGCGCCCAAACCTCCCAAGAACGCCCCAACGCGGCCCCCAAGACGGGGACGAGGAACCGGAAATTCGCACCTTTCGGCCCAAGAGCCCCCAGGATACCCCAAGAGGCTGCAAGAAGAACCCAGAAGCCCCAAGAGGCCCCCCTTGAGGCTTGAAAAAACACAAAAAGAGCCCCCGAACACACCCCAAGAGGCACTCCAATAGAGCCCCAAATCAGCAAAAATCCTATGGGAGAACTGCTATTTTTGGCGTGTTTGCCTTTTGGGCTTCCACTGCGTCCAAGACGGCCCAAGAGGCACCCAAAACGGTCGAGGATGCCCCCAAGAGGGCTCCAAGACGGGCCACGACGGCCCACGAAACGCCTAAATCGCTCAACGACGCCTCAAGCCGGCGCCCCAGACAGGGGCGAGGAACAGAAAATGCGATCCATGTGGCCCAAGAGGCCCCCAAGAGACCCCAAGAGGCTCCAAAAAGAACCCAGAAACCCCAAGAGGCCCCCCTTGAGGCTTGAAAAAACACAAAAAGAGTCCCCGAACACGCCCCAAAGGAGCACTCCAATAGAGCCCCCATAAGCAAACATCTAAGATTTCTTATGGGGAAACCGATAGGTTTAGTGTGTTCGCCTTTGGGGCTTCCACTGCGTCCAGGACGGCCCAAGAGGCGCCCAAGACTGCCCCACAGGCTACCAAGAGGGCTCCGAGACGACCCCAAAAGGGCCCCAAGACGGCCCGAGAGGCTCAATATGGCTCTGTTTTTCGTGCTTTGGCCAGGGTGTGGAGAACTTGTCACGACTCCACACCGCGCGCCGCCGAGGCGTGTCACAATCCGTGTCGCTGTCGATGCTCATTGCTCTTGCTCTAGCTCAGCTGCAGCAAGTCAGTTTACTGTACCCCGCCCTCCGCGAGCAATCCGCTGAAGCTCTGCAGGCCGTCTGTAGTCGCCCAGTAGTTGCAGATGTTGGGCAACGCGGTGTCCCCTATTGCGTGGATCGCAATTCTTTTTTCGCAAGGGCTTGCTCGACACGTTGTCCCGAGCGATCTCCACGGTGCCTTCTCCCGCGCCCGCGACGTGGCCAAGCCATCCTGGCAGCAGATTGGATCCGTCCGCGCCCGCGACATCCTATCCGCAACATGGCAGCAAATTGGATCCGACTTGGACGGAGATGTTGCGGTCGGCCCTGCCGCAGTTTCCATGAGCGCCGACGGCAGTCGCGTCGCCATCGGTGCACCTGAAGCAGCCGAAGGCGTTGGCCACGTCCGCGTCTATGACTGGGCAGGGGGGGCGTGGGTGCAAGTGGGACCCGACCTCAATGGGAACGCTATTGGTGAAAAGTTTGGTAATCAAGTGTCCCTCAGTGCCGACGGCAGTCGCCTCGCCATTATGTCGGGCTACACCACCCACAACGGCCAAGCCCGCGTCTATGAATTGGCGGGGGGGGGGGGCGTGGCAGCAGGTTGGATCGGATATCCACTTTTTAGCTGATGGCGTCGATGGCTATAAGTCGATCTCTCTTAGCGCCGACGGCGGTCGCGTTGCCATTGGTGACACTTCGAAAGGCAACAGAGCAGGTCATATACGCGTGTTTGAGTGGGCGTCAGGCACGTGGCAGCAGATGGGAGCTGACATCGACGGGGAAGCTGAAGGAGAATTCTCTGGTTTCTCGGTGACCCTCAGCAGTGACGGCAGCCGCGTTGCAGCTGGGGCACCTTTTAGCGACGATGTAGGCTTCAACTTTGGCTGCGTCCGTGTCTACGACTGGGTTGGGGGTGCGTGGCAGAAGGTGGGGTCCGACATCCCCGGAGCAACTGATAACGAGAGGGCGGGCTGGTCAGTGTCCCTCAGCGCAAACGGCAGTCGCGTCGCCGTCTCTGGACATTACTACGACGGTTTCCGCGGCCGCGTCCGCGTCTTTGATTGGGAAGGAGATGCGTGGGTACAGGCGGGATCTGATGTCGCCGGGGACGTTTCTCAAAATCAATTTGGCTCTGCTGTTTCCTTGAGCGCAGATGGCACCCGCCTCGCCGTCAGTGCCAAGCCGCAAGCACAACCAAGTACGTACGTCCGCATCTACGACTCGGCAGGTAATGCGTGGCAGCAGGCGGAAAGCTTCTCCAACGTCGCTGGGAGTATGTCCCTCAACTCCGAGGGCACTCGCGTCGCCATTGCCATGCCTGGGTGGGTTGAGGACGCCAGGTTCGTCCGCATCTACGGCTTGGCAGATGATGCAAAGCGCTTCGCGCTCTACGGCTCGCTGACACAATTCTGTCCCGATCTGCTGTCCTCAACACCCCGCCCCTGCCCGGTGTGGCCCCGGTCCCCTGACACAATCATGTCTGCTGTCTCCTTTAACAAACAACACCCCGCCCCTGCCCGGTGTGGCCCTGGTCCCCTGACACAATTTTGTCCCGATCTGGTGTCCTCGTTAACGAACAACACCTCTCCACTGCCCGGTGTGGCCCCGGTCCCCTGATACAATTCTGTCCCGATCTGATGTCCTTTTAATCAAACAACAACCCGCCCCTGCCCGGTGTGGCCCCGGTCCCCTGACACAATTCTGTCCCGATCTGGTGTCCTCTTTAACAAACAACACCTCTCCGCTGCCGGGTCTGGCCCCGGCTCCCTGACACAATTCTGTCCCGATCTGGTGTCCTCTTTAACAAACAACACCTCCCGTGATCGGTGTGGCGCCGGTTCCATGACACAATTCTGTCCCGATCTGCTGTCCTCTTTAACAAACAACACCCCGCCCCTGCACGGTGTGGCCCCGGTCCCTTGACACAATTCTGTCCCGATCTGGTGTCCTCTTTAACATGACAACACCTCTCCGCTGCCCGGTGTGGCCCCGGTCCCCTGACACGATTATGTCCCGATCTGCTATCCTCTTTAACAAACAACAACCCGCCCCTGCCAGGTGTGGCCCCGGTCCCCTGACACAATTCTGTCCCGATTCTGTCCTCATTCACAAACAACACCCCGCCCTGCCCGGTGTGGCCCCGGCCCCCTGTCACAATTCGGTCCCGATCTGGTATCTTCTTAATCACACAACAGCACCTCCCCTGCCCGGTGTGGCCCCGGTCCCCTGACACAATTCTGTCCCGATCTGCTCTCCTCTTTTAGCAAACAACACCCCCCTTGCCCGGTGTGGCTCCGGTCCCCTGACACGATTCTGTCCCGATTTGCTGTCCCCTTGAACAAACGACACCCCCCCTGCCCGCTGTGGCCCCGGTCCCCTGACACAATTCTTTCCCGATTTGCAGTCCTCTTTAACAAACAACACCTCTCCGCTGCCCGGTGCGGCCCCGGTCCCCTGACACAATTCTGTGCCGATCTGGTTTCCTTTTATAATCAAACAACACCCCGCCCCTGCTCGGTGTGGCCCCGGTCTCCTGACACAATTCTGTCCCGATCTGGTGTCCTCTTTAACAAACAACACCGCCCCTGCCCGGTGTGGCCCCGGTCCCCTGACACAATTATGTCCCGATCTGCTGTCCTCTTTTATAAACAACAACCCGCCCCTGCCCGGTGTGGCCCCGTCTCCCTGACACAATCTGTCCCGATCTGCTATCCTTTTTACCAAACAACACCCCCCCTGCCCGGTCTGGCCCCAGTCCCCTGACACAATTCTGTCCCGATCTGGCGTCCTGTTATAATCAAACAACACCCCGCCCCTGCTCGGTGCGGCCCCGGTCCCCTGACACAATTCTGTCCCGATCTGCGATCCTCTTTAACAAACAACACCCCCCGTGCCCGGTGTGGCCCCGGTCCCCTGACGCAACTCTTCCCAGATCGGGTGTCCTCCTTACCAATCAACACCTCCCCTGCCCGGTGTGGCCCCGGTCGCCTGACACAATTATGTCCCGATCTGCTGTCCTCTTTCACAAACAACACCCCGCCCCTGCCCGGTGTGGCCCCGGTCCCCTGACAGAATTCTGTCCCGATCTGCTGTCCGCTTTAACAAACAACACCTCCCCTGCCTGGTGTCGCCCCGGTCCCCTGTCACAATTCTGTCCCGATCTGCTGTTCCTTCAGCAAACAACACCCCCCCTGGTCGGTGCGGCCCCGGCTCCCTGACACAATTCAGTCTCGATCTGCTATCCTCTTTAACAAACAACACCCCGCCCCTGCCCGGCGTGGCCCCGGTCCCCTGACACAATTCTGTCCCGATCTGCTGTCCTCTTTAACAAACAACACCCCGCCCCTGTCCGATGTGTCCCCGGTCCCCTGACACAATTCTGTGCTGATCTGGTGTCCCTTTTTGGCATACAACACCCCGCCCCTGCCTGGTGTGGCCCCGGTCCCCTGACACAATTCTGTCCCGATCTGCAGTCCTCTTTAACAAACAACACCCCCCCTGCCTGGTGTGGCCCCGGCTCCCTGGCACAATTCTGTCCCGATCTGCAGTCCTCTTTAACAAACAACACCCTTCCCGTGCCCGGTCTGGCCCCAGTCCCCTGACACAATTCTGTCCCGATCTGGTGTCCTCTTAATCAAACAACAACCCCCCCCTGCCCGGTGTGGCCCCGGTTCCCTGACACAATTTTGTTCCGATTTGCAGTCCTCTTTAACAAACAACACTCCCCTGCCCGGTGCGGCCCCGGTCCCCTGACACGATCCCTTCCCGATCTGTTATCCTCCTAATGGAACAACAACCCCGCCCCTGCCCGGTGTGGCCCCTGTCCCCTGACACAATTCTGTCCCGATCTGCAGTCCAAACAACAACACGCCCCTGCCTGGTGTGGCCCCGGTCCCCTGACACAATTCTGTCCCGATCTGCTGTCCTCTTTTAGCAAACAACACCCCCCCTGCCCGGTGTGGCCCCGGCCCCCTGACACGATTATGTCCCGATCTGCTGTCCTCTTTAACAAACGACACCCCCCCTGCCCGGTGTGGCCCCAGTCCCCTGACACAATTCTGTCCCGATTTGCTGTCCTCTCATAATCAAACAACGCCTCCCCGCTGCCCCGTGTGGCCCCAGTCCCCTGACACAATTCGGTCCCGATCTGCTGTCCTCTTTAACAAACAACACCTCCCCTGCCTGGTCTGGCCCCTGTTCCCTGACACAATTCTGCCCCAATCTGGTGTCCTTTCTAACAAACAACACCCTCCGTGGTCGGTGTGGCCCCGGTTCCCTGACACAATTCTGTCCCGATCTGCTATCCTTTTTAACAAACAACACCCCTCCCTGCCCAAACGTGGCCCGTGTCCCCTGACACAATTTTGTCCCGATCTGGTGCCCTCTTAAACAAACAACACCCCCCCTGCCGGGTGTGGCCCCGGTCCCCTGACACAATTCTGTCCCGATCTGCTGTCCTCTTTAACAAACAACACCCCCCTTGCCCGGTGTGGCCCCAGTCTCCTGACACAATTCTGTCCCGATCTGCTCTCCTCTTAAAAAAACAACGCCCCCCCCCCTGCCCTGTCTGGCCCCGGTCCCCTGACACAATTCTGTCCCGATCTGGTGTCCCCTTTAACAAACAACACCTCCCATGCCTGGTCTGGCCCCGTGTCCCCTGACACAATTCTGTCCCGATCCGGTGTCCTCTTTAACAAACAACACCTCCCCTGCCCGGTGTGGCCCCGGTCCCCTGACACAATTCTGTCCCGATCTGGTGTCCTTTTAACAAACAACACCCTCCCTGGTCGGTGTGGCCACGGCTCCCTGACACAATTCTGTCCCGATCTGCTGTCCTCTTTAACAAACAACACCCTTCCGTGCCCAAACGTGGCCCCGGTTCCCTGACACAATTCTGTCCCGATCTGCTTTCCTTTTTAACAAACAACACCCCCCCTCCCCGGTGTGGCCCGGTTTCCCTGACACAATTCTGTCCCGATCTGGTGTCCTCTTTAACAAACAACACCCCCCTGCCCGGTGTGGCCCCGGTCCCCTGACACAATTCTGTCCCGATCTGCTGTCGTCTTTGTATATCAGACAACACACCTCCCCTGCCTGGTGTGGCCCCGGCCCCCTGACACAATTCTGTCCCGATCTGCTATCCTCTTTAACAAACAACACCCCCCGTGCCCGGTGCGGCCCCGGTTCCCTGACACAATTCTGTCCCGATTTGGTGTCCTCCTGAACAAACAACACCGCCCCTCCCCGGTGTGGCCCCGGTCCCCTGACACAATTCTGTCCCGATCAGCAGTCCCCTTTAACAAACAACACCCCCCCTGCCCGGTGTGGCCCCGGTCCCCTGACACAAATCTGTCCCGATCTGCAGTCCTCTTTAACAAACAACACAATCCACCCCTTTAACAAACAACACCCCCCCTGCCCGGTGTGGCCCCGGTCCCCTGACACAAATCTGTCCCGATTTGCAGTCCCCTTTAACAAACAACACCCCCCCTGCCCGGTGTGGCCCCGGTCCCCTGACACAATTATGTCCCGATTTGCTGTCCTCGTAATCAAACAACAACCCCCGCCCCTGCCCGGTGTGGCCCCGGTCCCCTGACACAATCATGTCCCGATCTGCTGTCCTCTTTAACAAACATTAGCCCGCCCCTGCCTGGTGTGGCCCTGGCTCTTTGACGCAATTCTGCCCCGATCTACTATCCCCCCCCTGCCCGGTGTGGCCCCGGTCCCCTGACACAATTATGTCCGGATCTGCTGTCCCCTTTAATAAGACACCCCCCGCCCCTCCCCGGTGTGGCCCTGGTCCCCTGACACAATTCTGTCCCGATCTGCTATCCTCTTTAACAAACAACACCTCCCCTGCCCGGTGTGGCCCTGGTCCCCTGGCACATTCCTGTCCCGATCTGCAGTCCTTTTTAACAAACACCCCCCCCCTTGCCCAGTGTGGCCCCGGTCCCCTGACACAATTCTGTCCCGATCTGGTATCTTCTTTAACAAACAACACCCCCCTTGCCCGGTGTGGCCCCGGTCCCCTGACACAATTCTGTCCTGATTTGCTGTCCTCTTAATCAAATAGCGACCCCCCCGTGCCCGGGGCGGCCCCGGTTCCCTGACACAATTCTGTTCCGATCCGCAGTCCTCTTTAACAGACAACACCCCGCCCCTGTCCGGTTCGGCCCCGGTCCCCTGACAATTCTATCCCGATCTGGTGTCCTCTTTAACAAACAACACCTCCCATGCCTGGTCTGGCCCCGGCTCCCCGACACAATTCTGTCCCGATCTGCTATCCTCTTTAACAAACAACACCCTCCCTGGTCGGTGTGGCCACGGTTCCCTGACACAATTCTGTCTCGATTTGCTGTCCTCTTTAA